GAAGTAGAATGTTGTGAGTAAACAGAAGACGAACACATTAATAAATAACTCTTTTTAATTCATAGACAATAGCATTCAAATCTCTTTTGGTAGTGTGGTGGTCCTCTTTTACTAAAACATACTGTGTATTTTATAATCATATATTGAAGAAAAAGGATGCAAAAACTTAGATTTACATTAAATAACTTGTGGCCGAGTTGACTTGTGGCCGAGTTGATTTGTGGCCGAGTTGACTTGTGGCCGAGTTGATGCGTGGCCGAGTTGGCTGTAGCCGAACTTTTTGTGGCCGAGTTGATTTGTGGCCGAGTTGACTTGTGGCCAAGTTGACTTGTGGCCGAGTTGACTTGTGGCCGAGTTGACTGTGGCCGAGTTGACTTGTGGCCGAGTTGACCTGCACCCATTTCACCTATGATTTCACACATACAATAACGAATGAAAACATATTGGGCTATATAATAAGATACAAGATATTTATCTATCATAATTTGATTACAAAAAAAAAAATATGAACAACGTTATAAAAATACAAGTTTAACTATTAAATAGACGCCGGACCGATTTTGGCTTATGTGGACTATATTTGGCAGGTAATTTTAAAGCCATGAAAATCGGTCCGGCGGACCAATTTTGGCCCCGCGGACCAATTTTTGCCCCGGACCAAATTTTTCCTGACAGGCCTATCCATGGAGGAATTATGGCCTATCATAGGTCCTGTTACCGTAAATACAGTAAAAGTTTATAAAAAAAATGCTTGTCTTCATTGTGTTATTTATTCATTTTAACACTGTATACATATGTATTTAAAACCCTTCTTCTCAAAGTGTTTCATTACACACATTAATTATACTCCCGATTAAAACAATCAGGTTTGATGCGGTGCTTATTAGCGGCGGTTTTTCGAGCATTTTCGGTATGTTCATTTCCACAATGAATTTATTACTTCTACGGACGTGCGTCACATCCTACACGGAACTCTCTCCTTGAAGAAAATACCGTAGACAGGCCTACTCATGCCAATAGGTTCAATGGAATTAGAGTTCAGGGATTTCTAAGTGTCTGTTTATGCGTTTAGGGACGGAATGCCCGCTTGTTTGTTAAGTGCCATGACAACATTCATTTTCATTATTTGGCTACACCTAGGCGTAGGCTGTAATTTATTGCCTGTTTACTTACGTTTACATTTTTTAGTTTATCAATCGAGCCATTGTTTCCCATTGTTGTTTTTCGGTGTTTTGACTTTTGATTTATGCATATATAATATATATATATACATATATATATATATATAGGCCTATTGGATCAGTTTCAGTGGATAGCCTTGCTGTTGGATGTGAAATTGTATTTAAAAACTAAATTTCCATAATTCTTAAGTACATTCTTGGTAGTTTCCTTTTATATTTCTGGTGAAATATATCTTGTTGTTCCTTATATTCAGTTGTATAAATGTTTGTTTAACATATTTACCTTTTAATGTGTCTTTTAATGTTCTATATTTGTTATATATTTTTTTTACCAAACTTTACCTGTATATTTAGCATTTTTAAATGTTTCTGTAAATTTCTCCCAATTCAGTTTCAAACTGACAGAAGAAATAAAGTTATCTTTATAGTGAAACTTGAAAAATATCTATGGTTGAAAACGTTCGTGCGCATCTTAAATGTATCTTGTCATCAAATGCTAAGAGGGAGTGTCATACTAATCCCTGTTGCAATGCATCAACTAGTGCTGTCCAATACGCATTCACAAAAATGTGAACGATTACTTGCGAAGCCATGGTGTATCTAGGAGTCTTAAAATGTGATAGGTGAGCATGCAGGTGTGGAATTAGAGGGAGCCACCGCCCCCCTTTTTGAATAGACCCGGACCCTCTAGGATATTGTTATCTTGATTGGCCCCACTTAGGGCTGGGATAAAACATTTTGAAAACAGACACCTCTGGGATTACTGGAAGTGGCACTACGTTTAATACATCGCATCATATCAGCGGCCTCCCCGTGCACTTAATCTTTATCCCCATCAGTCTCCCTTCCCTATGTCCTCACTCTACGCCACTAGATAGAGTGAGATACACTCAGAAGCTAAACTCTTAACAAAGCTAGAGTAGGTGGTTGTGTTTCTGTGACAGAAAAATATTTCTTTATTTTACTGAAGAACGGTAGATAAACGTTTTAGTTTTTCAATGTTGCGTGGCCCGATCAAATATTTGGCGGGCTGGAGTTGGCCCGCAGGTCGGGGTTGAATACCTGTGTGCTGAACAAATGCTCTTAAATTCTCATCCACTGTTTTTTTTTTTTTTTGTAAATATTTTTGGCAATTTTTAATGATTCTTATAATTGTATATTGTTATTATAATATTCTGTTGTTCAAGTGTTTTGCCTTAATGTAAACGAGAAGCAGCTTACTCCACTATATTATATTGAGTTTTGGGGCTCTGTGTGTGTCTGTGTACCTAAGGGAAATGGGGGAACACCTGCCAACACTTTCACATACACGGGACATTTTAACACGATTAACCTATGTTTCTGGAAGATTTAGATCTATTCCCTGTTATTAATCAACAGAATTAATTTTTTATAGAATTTAATCTGGTTAAAATCCGTTATAATTCTGTTAAAGAATTTCTGTCTCTTGCAAATATCAAGAAATATTCATCAAAAAACCTGAATAGCTCTTTCGAAATGATAAAATATAGTTATCACACTATAATGAGACACGAAAAAAAAAAAAAAAAAATCAGCAAACGTCTTTCTACGAAATCTATTTAAGAATCTATGCAACATAGATTGTGTATTATTCATGTACAGTACTTGTTAATCGTCTGGAAAAATAAATAATTTACTCAAATTGTATATAAAGTAATTAATCAATCAACATTAGTTTTCAATACTGAATATATAACACAAGTTTAAAGTGTAAAATGTTTTCAAATACCTAATATTTAAGTATATTTTTTCAGCTTTAAATGACAAATGTGAAGGAAACACATTTTCTTGCCCAATTTACACTAAAGAATATGGTATAAATCGGCTGATGAACAATTTTAGAAATTACGTAATAAAATGTTTGCACGCCTCATTGGAAAACAATAACTATTTTATTCTTTCATATGAGGAATTCAATGCTTCTATCATAAAATTTATGGTTTTTCCCTCGACTTTACCAAATTTAATATAGAAGAGAAATGAGCTCATCTATACTGTACTAGATTTCAATCTCACTTTCAGTTCCACATTTGTGCGTCATGATTTGGCATGGTAAATGTAGTCTACAATTCCTTGGTATGAAGATACGTTTAATTTACTTTAGATAAATGATATTGGTTTAATATACACATTTGCTGCAAATAATTGACTGGTTTTGCAATTTCATGAAATATTAAATTGAATATCATTTAAAAAAATTGTTGCAGTTATTAATACATTTGCTCTGGCTATTAACATGATCCAGCCTGAATTGACCAATTTTATGGAATTTTTACTGAAAATAAGGTATTTGGCTATTACATGTCTACTGTTTATTGTCACTTTCAAACTACATCACCTAAATTGTTGTGGCTTTTGTTGACATTGATAATACAGTAACTAGAAACGTGCTAAAATTGGCCACCATTTATAGAGCTTCCCTGCATTTAAATAGTTTAGGCAACCCTAACTAAACCTGGGATAAATTGGCAATAATGTATCATCTCCTTAATACATAATTCGTTTTAGCTGTTGCGCAAAACCTGGTTTTAAGTTTGCATTAACAACAATATCTGCAATTAGGCTAAATTGGGTACATTATAATAATATTTAAAAATTGTTAATTAGGTTATACCATAGGAAAAAACATTAGGCTGTGCTATGCTGGCATTATTGTATATTTAAACAATTGACTATAGAAAATTTCTACAGCCATAATAGAATAAAATGTTGCTGAAGGCACTCCCAGAAATGACATCACAAACACTATACAATGATATTTAACAATTAGACATATCCATAGAATTAAACATTTAGGTTATAAAAAATCTTTGGGTTCAATTGGTTACATCTAGGATTATAATTTTAGCTGGGTCTATACGCTTCACTGGATAAAAATATAAAGCCTACATGGTAGGATAGAATTCAGCATTATTGAGCCATCTGACAGACTCATGAGATACGACACCATTCAACGTCATCATTCTCTTCATACCACATGCAAATGTATGGCAGGCAGGCTAAGCCACAAAATATTATATAGACTTGATTTAAAAATTCTCAGTCAGGGTAAATGCTAATCATGGCTTGATACGTAACACCCAACAACTGGTGATTAGAAATTATCAATTCAGGCAAGTGCTTAAATATCAACTTGCTAAACTGAAGCACCAGTGATTAGAAATTCTCACTTCGGGTAAATGTTATTAATATTATCTTGCTACACTGAAGGACTGGTGATTACAAATTCTCACTTCAGGCAAGTGGTATAAACATTATCTTGCTAGACCGAAGCACCAGTGATTAGAAATTCTCACTTCGGGCAAGTGCTTAAATATTAACTTGCTAGACCAAAGCACCAGTGATTAGAAATTCTCACTTCGGGCAGGTGCTTAAATACTAACTTGCTAGACCAAAGCACCAGTGATTAGAAATTTTCACTTCGGGCAAGTGCTATAATTATTATCTTGCTAGACCGAGCCCAAGTGATTAGAAATGATCACTCGGGCAACCACATTCACATCAAGAAATAAGTGTTAAATATAAATTGCTAGACAAAAGGACTAGTGTCGACAAATTGTCACTTTGGGAAAGCGTTAAACAAATAGTCCCAAAGACCAGTGACTTGATCACATGAAAAATATTTTATGCATGACAGGGGTGGATCCAGAATTTTTCAAATGGAGGGGTGAGGGCCACCAAATCCAGATTAAAATAGGGAGTGCTAGCAGTAGTGGCATAACAAAGGGGCTGTAGACCCTATTGAGATATTTTGTATTTATATTCTATTTTATCCTATTTTCAATACCTGTCACTGGTATGTATTGATTTCTTTTTTTAAATGTAGTAGTACCAAAACGGAGACTCTTTCCCATCTCCCCCCCGCCCAACCCACTCCCATTGGATCTTCCCCTGCATGACACTCCATTTCATATTCTTCAAAAAATGATTTGTCTCGGATCTCTGGACTACTAGCTATGATCATCTTTCTTGGACAAAGACAGTATCATGGGGCACTAGGCCAGCCTCTTCCAGTGTTGTATCTCCATCCATATAAGATAATTGCCGCCTTGGAAAATTTGTTACAAGTTCGTATCTTTCGCTGGAGAATCCTTCTTTTTTCACACATGTTGTTAGGTCCTAAAAACACAGTGAACAGTTAAAAAATAAAATTTTGAAATAAATATGCACCTTTTAAATACAATATCAATGTGATCTTTAAACAAAATAAATTGGCATTTATTACAATACAAATTTCACACTGCCTCAAGGCATTTTATACTGAACCTTAAATACCAAAATCTAAAGAGGTCTCTACCACTAAAGTTAAGTCAGCATCGCTCTATCTAAAGGCTGTTTTCCAATATTTGCACAAATCAAAAACGTCAGTTCATGCGCAGCGCATTCACATTTCTATGAGAGTTTTTCACTTCAGCCAAATCAGTAGTTTGAACTGTTTTTACTTTTTGCGAAGTAAAAAGTATGGTACAGGTATGCCTTTAGGCAAACCTGTATAGACTATGCAAATTTTAAGGCCCTATTGTCAGCTTATCATCCACAGTTAGATTAAATATTTATATAATCTGGCAAGGTTTGAACAAAACACAAGGATGATAAGGTAACAATTAATTCTATGGGGTTTACGACATATATTTGGTTGGATAATAATAAACTGGAGGATATAATAATAGAAATGGAAATTCCACAATACAGTTTGTGTGTATGTTTGTGAATAGATTTTGCACAATGAGGAAGTTTCAAGATTAGGGCAGAACTAACTAGTATGATGAAATGATGAAACCATGCTTAGTGGTTAAGGATAAGATGCTTCACTTTCAAACCCAGGGTCCTGGGTTCAATTCCTGTCAAGTAACCGGATTCCTTGTGACTAATAATATAACTTAATTTATACACTGTAGAATATTACATGTCAAATGTTTGTCTTGTGAAAGAGATTGTAACCTACAGGAACATGAGAAACGATCTGATAATGATTAAAATAGAAGCACATAAATTATGCAAGTTATTTCTTAAATTAATATACCTGATATATTTTGAGTCTCATTTTAGTTTTTGAATATAATTATAAAGTACTGTATATTATAGAAACCGGGGGGGGGGGGGGGGGAAGGGGAAGGTGGTGTTAAATGTGTAGGCTTATGTACTAATTTATAAAAAGAAAATGGCAAAAATCATTATATTATATTGCACACTTTTAGGGAGAGGGAGGGTGTCAAAAAAAAAGTGTTTTGAACTCTTGTGAAAATTATGAAAATAATGGATGACTCCTGAAAGGATAGCAGACTTACCACCAATGTTGATCTGCCAGGGAGGTTGAGCTGTTTCCTTGCACCGTCAGGCAGTCTAAGCATAATCTTAGCTTCTGAGTCTAAGGAAAATATATTGACAATCATAGTTATAACTCTTCTTTTGAATCCAAAATGTAAATTACCTGTAAATGCGTGACTGCAGACAATGGTAAATGGAATTTAAATAAAAAAATTTTTTTGAATACCATGCCCCCATTTTCTCCTTATTTTTCTTTTCTTCTCTTTTCTTTTTCTGCTTGTGGTAGGGGTGACCTAGCCACCCCCCTTGCATACGCCCCTGAGGAATTAAAAATGTTCATTCTAACCACTGTAAAAAAATAAAGAAAAAATAGATAGCCGTACTAGTCTGATATAATAGTGAATAAATCACTTCTTCAGAATCGTTCACTTCTTCCGGAACATGAATTCACCTAATGCACAAAAGCTAGAGTATTGTCAATAAAACTTGTCTTTAAAGTACTTCATGTCCAGTGTTTTATCTAGGCAAGTCTTGCTTCATTTCTTGTTTCACGAACTTATTATTTTTAAAGATCGTCAGAGGCGGGTGGATAAAAAATAAAAATAACATTTTGTTTTCTTGATTAGCAAATAGTTTTGCCAAAAACATCCCAACAGAGGATATAATAAAAATAAAATTGTATTGTTGAATGTAAACAGTGTAGTAATGGGATGGTTAAATGCTTTAAATTTATAAATAGGAATAAAAGATACATATCTTATTTTTGGAGATTTCTAGGCAGCAGCAGACATAACAAAAATAAAAAATAACTTTAACATTTTCTTGAAATTTCCAATTTTATTTTTATTCTAAATTATCAATATTAGAGGGTTGCGGGTTTGTGAAATAAGGTATAAAAATAGTCTTGCCTTACTAAGAATAAAGAAATATTAGAAATGAAGAGCAATTTCTGCAACAACCAGTAGAGATCAAGTTTGAATGTTTAAGTGTTTTAGTAGCAGTAAAAAAAATTCAATAAGCTTTTATTTTTCAAATTAAAATATGAAACTGAAAAACTGCATACAACATGTATGGAATACTATTGAGACTCAAAGCGTACCACTGATAGCCAGTTGTCAGCAGAAACAATGGTTATATCTTATCAAATGATGTTTACAATTAAAAAGCTATGAGAATGGATGTCCTACATTATCACCACATAACAAACATTAGTAAAATTAATAAATTTCCCTACCGTTTTCTTTTGATGACTTTTTCTTTTCATCAGCATCATTAACATTATTGGTACCATCTGTATGGTTTATACTTGTACTTCCACCAGCAGACTCATTTCCTTTGTGGTTTTTCAGTATGACAGTTGTTGAACCAATTTCTTCATTTTCATTTGGCAAAGTTGTCTCAAGGCTGTCTTTTTGTTTAACTGCCTTACTTTCAGTTTCTTTAGCAACAAAGTTGTCTACTACGACTATGTGACCATCAACAGCCTCAATTTCATCTAATGTCTCAATATCTACATCGCTCTCTGGCCCCTTCTTGATGTTATTAGTTCTATGATTCTCGCCCTCAACATAACTACATGATTCGTCATCGCTTCCCGATTGGCAAGAACCACTTTCATATAATAATTCCGGTTCTGAGTCACTATCAACATAAATTGTTTTTTTATGCGATGATTGCTGACTGGTCTTGCAGCTCGTTTCCGACATGGAAGCTGCAATTGCAGCCTTCAACTGGCTTTCTTCGTCCGCATCTATTATACTTTCCTAGAAATAATTCAGATTTTATAATATTAGTCTTATGGAGTGTAAAGGGATTGCTTAACAAATTAATGGTATAAGAAATATAAATTCAAATATACAATGGTTACATAAACAAAATTCAATAAAAATTACAAAATATATTTCAAATTGACAATCCACACTGCAATATACTAGTAAGTCATTACTTTTCATTAATTTACGAACTTAACTACCCACTATATTAAAGGTTAACATTAGTCTTGGTTAACATTATGGCTATGGATATTAGGGCTAGGATTAAAGCTATGTTTTGTGTCAAAAAAAAAATAATTAGGTATATGGTTTGGGCTAGGGAGAAGTTTTAGATTTGTTAGGGTTAGGCTGAACAGTACAGTACTTTATTTTTAATCCTATAGTGCATAATTTATTCTAAAAAAGATATATTTCTATCTGGTGATTTCATGTCACTTATGAACACTTATAGTACCATTATTGATGCAGAAACCACTGCTTAAGTGACAGTTACTAATTACATAGATTTAAACACCAATACACCGATGTTTGTTTACAGCCGGTCATTTAACACAGCTTGAGTATACCATGTAAAACAGTGCGATTAGTGTGAAAGTATAGGAAAAGGTAATGTTATGTTTGCGAAAACAACCACCCACTGTTAACGTCAGTAATAAATGGCAAGGAAAGGCAATTGATTGTTCAAAATAATGTTTATTTTACTTATCCTAGCGTTCTCCTTGCATTGTATGCTTTTAAATTTAAGCGATACTTTGTAAACCTTAGCTAGCCTTAAGATCATAGCGCAGTTTGATGATCGAAGACTCTCATGCATACCGAAACAGGCTGTAGATGTGCAGGGGTCTAGGCCTAACATTTGTCGAAATATCTTAATGTTTGCGGCCAGTGTCCTTTAGAGCATTAGCAAAATATTAAGGCAAAATTCTCAAGTTCAATTTCCAATAAATTCGGTATAGTTTACTGGGAATTATGATGATTTTTTACAGCAATAACAAGAGACGGCTGAAATAGGAATCTCCATGTAAAACACCGCTGTGCTAGTCCATTGTTTACATCTAACAACCTAGTTAGGTCATGTGATGCTCATCACTGAATCGGTATAAATGTGTGGGCTCCAGTTCTTACCTTCCTTGCTTTCTTCTTTGGAGGACTAAATCCATCTCTGTCAAAACAAGGATAATCCCTTAGAAATTTGGTCACTGATGAATAAAGCAAAAACATAAGAATTATTACATGATCAACTGTTCACTGACAATGTGATTAGGTGGTCACACACAAATTTGATTAAAATATTTTGTTATCAAGTTCTCACTAAAAATCATGTGATTAGGTGGTCACAAAATTTGAATAACTGATTTGTGATCAAGACCTTGCAGTAAAAGTATGTGATCAGGTAGTAGTCACAAAAAATTTGATGAGAAGATTTGTTATTAAGTTCTCACTAAGAAGCACATGATTTAGGTGGTTACAGACAATTTGAATACATTATTTGTGATCAACTTCTTGCCACAGATATACATGCGATCTGGGAGTTACTGAGAATTTTAATGAAATGATTTGTAATCAAGTTCTTACCAGTGGCATAGCTATGGGCAGTGCAGCCAGTGCAAAGCACTGGGGCCCAAGGCTATTAGGGGGCCCATTCATAAATAGACCTAAAAATAATTATTTTAATTACTTTCCAACTTAACATTTTTCAAGAATAAAATGGCCAGTGGGCTCCTCAATAATATTCGGTTTTCCAGAGGAGTAATCATTAATTAATGTAATGATTTCACATCAGTGGTGCATTCAAGGGTACCCCAGCCGACCTGACCCCCCACCCATTAATTTTTTTCAAAATTATAAAAGAAATGGGAAAAAAGTGAAATTGCCATTTCCAGCCATCTAGGGGGGCTATAATCATAAATTTTCTTACCTCAGCCCCAATCATGGTGGGCTGAGGTGGTCTTCACCTCCACCTCTCCCTGGCCCCTCTATTTCGAATTCCCTGACCCGCTACTTCAATTTATATGCCACCAATTTTCTTGATTAGTTTAGAACCGTCTGCTGAGACTGATTATCATTAGTACACAGACCGTTAAGAGTAGGGGGTAAAAGGAGCCTTACGATGAATTTTCGGAGAACTTTAGAGAATTCTGCTATAACATCAAAGGACCCGGCAATTAATCTTGCACTGGGGCCCTTTCGCACCTAGCTACGCCGCTGGTTCTCACTAAGAAATATGCGATCAGGTGTTCATTGACAATTTGAAGAACTGATTGTGATCAATAAGTTCTTGCAACAAATGTTGCAAAAAATAAAAGAATTTGATGAAATGGTTTGCTACCAAGTTCTCACTAAGAAATATGTGATTAGCTGGTCACAAACAATTTTAAGAACTGATTTGTGATCAAGTTCTTGCACAAGTGTGTGATCAAATGATTTTTGATTTTCAGATTCTAATGCGACCTTACGACCCATAAAAATTTTCAGACAACCCATATACAGTATGGGTTGCCAATTGGGAGATTTTGCAAAGTTTTCAAATTGTATTCTGATATTTTAAATTCTTTCAGATGACTGTCAGACAGTATTATGATTAGCATCAGTGATATATTGAGAGTAACATGATCCAGAGTTTGGTACAGGCTTTTTATGTGCATCGGCTTTCAGATTTGCATGCTATGTGAATGTAATGTGCAATTTTGGACCCCATTGGAAATGGGCTGGACTCCGGCCTAATGGGCACTCCTGGTGCTCATTAATTTTCACTTTTCTTGTTCTCAAATCTTTTTTATATTGTTTGTGCATGTTGAGCATCAAATCAATTCAATCAATCAATCACTATATGGCTATGAATATTAGGGCTAGAATTAAAACTATGTTTGGTGTCAAAAAAAAAAAAAATTAGTATATGGTTTGGGCTACGGAGAAGTTTTGGATTTGTGAGGGTTAGGCTGAACAGTACTTTATTTTTAATCATATAGTGCATAATTTATTCTAAAAAACATATATTTCTATCTGGTGATTTCATGTCACTTATGAATACTTATAGTACCATTATAGATGCAGAAAGAACTTTATCTGCATTGCTTCTCTCCACCATTGGTACCTGGTGAGGTTGCCTGCTCCTACATTTATAACAGCAGCTACACTTAAGCATGTGGACTCAATGACCTGGGACAGAAGCCCTTTGTATTCGCAAAGAGTGCTATATAAATAATTGAATAAAAAAAAATTTTAAAAACAGCTGCATCGTAGAATATTAAACAATTAATATTCTCAAGACTGACTCCCATCGATAGATCATGATGGGCTGTGTCGTACAGCGCTGTCTTACAACAGAAGTTGGCTTTTACGTGTTCAAGAGCACACAAAAAATTACTGTATACCACAAAGGTCACATATGTGATGCATCAACAAAAGATTTACATACCCAAGTCGCAAAATGCAACACTATCAAGTTTACTCCACGATGCAAGGAGTTCGCCGGTCCTCGGGTCCAGGATGCTGACATACGGGAAACTGACGACCTTATAAAACTGACAATACTTTTGGCCTTCCTCACTATCATGGTATACCTAGTGTGAGGAAATCGAAACTGTCAATTTGAATATCCGTTTTGATATTTACTTTAGTTAATCAGGTATAAGTCCACCTTACATATAAGTCCACCTTAGATATAAACCCACCCACGATTTAATGCCCAATTTCATGTTGTCAGGGTTTCACTAGACAGAGTTCGAATTTTTAGCATCTCAGCGTGGGGATGGTAGGCCCAGTCGTATGCTACAAATTACATTGCTAGGTAGGCCTATGCCCTAAGCCTTGCCATGGGAGAAATATTTTGTCACGAAATATAATTTGTGTTTTACTGTTTTCTGCAACAAAATAATACTTTACAGAAGCCAAAATTACCGGAGCCCACTGTAAGTATTCATTTGAAGTGATTTCCAAATGAAAACATGACCATATAATGCCCAAAACGTTTTGTGAATTTAGATTCCCCAGGTATAAACACCGGGATAAGACTACCGGACAAAATCGTCCCAATCTTGTGCCCAAAGTCATGGGATTACACACGAAGAACAATGGTACTGTATATCATATTAAAACTGTGTTGGTAATTTTGAATGACCACACTTTATACTGACCTGCCAGAAGACAAATGATTGGTTGATGAAGCGTTTGACTGCCGGGTCACTCCATACATCCCTGTTAAGTTTCTGGCAACTGAACTCTTGGACATCTTGGACATTGACTAATAACCAATGGCCTTGCTGCTGACCAACTTCACGTGCCTGATAACAAGCCATGATAGGAAAATTTTAACACATGTCAACTGCGACATTGCATCCATGTGACTCTGCCTTAAAGTAAAGTCAGGTTTCCATAAAATTACTACATTATCGCCAACAACTTTCACTGACCCTAATTGGTTAAATCAGGAAGCCTTCTTAATTCCATCGGCATGCAGTGGAACAATTGCAGTGAAAAAAATGTAACGATAGTGCACCTTTTTTATGAAAACAGAATTTAGATTTAGCTTGCATCCCTGTAATCCATGTAAAACAAACGAAATTCATTTAAGTAGCAGAACCAGTCGCATATTGACAAACAGCCACACAAGGGTGGCACCAGGGAAGGGGGGAAGGACTGGGGGCCCAGGGCCCCTGTTAGGGAGAGCTGGCCGTCCGGTGGCAAGAAAAAGCACAATTCGTCGGGAGCAGAAAAACCAGAACCCTGCGGGTGTGTACGTTCCTTTGTACGTAAACGTAGTTTAGAGGGATTTGTAGTCCAGTAATGGTTTCTAATGTTTTTACGTACACCTACACCCCCAGACAGGTCCGTCCATCAAATGCTGTATATTTACATACAGTACTTGCAAACATTCGAATATCAAAAATAGCGACGCTATTCATTGGTGACAAAAAATTAAGATGGCAATTATATCCTAATTCTTGTACAGTTGCTTCAAACAAAACAAGAGTTACTTAATTTCAAGTGTACTGTTTATTTACCTCACAACCAAGAAAAAATATTTAAGTTACATTTTAATCAGTAGACTTACAAACTTCACCATGAAGGGCACAGTATGTTGCTTGTTTCGCTGGATCTCATTGGAGTCATAACGTCAATATTTATTCGAATGACACTTATAATCTGTTCAACATTTCCAGCTTGTGCGTCATTAAAGCACTTTAAGTTTTTGTTGTCATGATAGCTCGAAGCTTGGTTTTGTTTTTTCAACAATAGAGAAAACTTTCTCAGTCACTACTGCTATAAAATATTACCATAGTTCCCCGGGTAGAATCCCACACCGACTTTACGCCCAACTTCGCGTACACGAATTTCCCCGGGTGATGACCCAGGGTCTGAGGATTGGGTAAGTCGGCATACCTAGCAGGCCTTGCCTAGGTCGATAAATTTAACAAATGCTCAAAAAATAAAGGAATTGTCTCCGAATTCTGCCGACTTGAAACTCTTAAAACTGATATTGGTCGCCATAAATTAAAACACAAAGCCCATTCTTGTAAATTACTTTGTTGTTTACTGTCGCTAAAAATAAGCAGCTCGCTAACTGCGGCTAAAGTAAAGATAGACAACACCGCGGTCCGTCCCTGAAAAGATTTGCCCAGTGGGCTGATCGGATCGTTAATTCACAGCGTGAAGACTCACGTGTTTCCACAGAGATTGGCTGCTAAAAATAACTCGTTACATCATGCAAGACTGATTTCTTCGCCCGAATATTGTTTTGATAGGCTATTGAATCGTAGGTGAAAACCACCTTGCAAAACGATCGTCATTTCCGTCTGTTCATACACTAGGCCAAGGAAATCCCGGGGATTAATTCCACTCTCCGCCCCCCCCCCCCGAAATCGGGACAGTTTCGCGTTTATGGGGATGGGATTATACCCGGGGAACCACGGACTAATATTCCCTTCATCACACTGGCAAGTAGTGGATACTTCTTGCAATTATTTTTTTTTTAATTCTAAAAATAGGGACGTACCTATTGTTTTTGACATCGGAAATCGGGACGTCAATTTGAGATAACAAATTTTGAAGTATGATTAACATTTTCGGGTATCCAAAGCTGTCATGTCCTAAAAACCTCCCACCTTAACCAAAACCATAGTAGGGCTGGGGTGGTGTTGGGTTACACCACAAAATGTCCTTCATTTTTTCACAACTTGACTGGTCAAACCACAGAACCAAAGTTGGCGGTTTTAGAAGTCAAACTTATCCATTTATCATCTACTAAAATAGTCTTCATTGTTTGACATACCTTCTCCGTGGTTTGACAACAACAAATTTTCTTTCGTTCTTCGTTCAAAATTTGCTTAGTGACACACATGCGTAATAAGTAGAATAGTTATCACAATTACTGCTCTGCAAAATGCATGTCACGCATGCGCTGTATGGTGGTAGATAAAACGTGCCTCGGTCAATGATTTATTTCGAGTTTGCAGAGAGTTAAGAATACAGAACACTCATTTATTTTACATATTCAAGTATACATGACATAACTATGTTGTAAACCAGTAAAATTACACAGTAGTCGTAAACAAAAAACTTCATAATACTGACGACACGTACGTTTTTCTGTGTTTAAAGTACAGTAACTGTGCACAATTAGTTTTTTTCTGCACCACTTTCTTTTCGTTTTTTTATATATAGGCCTAGAGGAACGATTGTAAATAGTCTATCAAACTAATGCCGCCAAAACTGTCAACTTTTGCTCTGTGGTTTATCAAGCCACAGACCTCTAGGGTCTAATTCCAGTAATGGAGGTCAGTCTGGTCAGAATAGTAAGTTGTGTTTATATGAATGCATTTGCTACATATTCAATCGTTACAAATACTCTTGATTTTTATTTTGTCGCGGATTATTGTTTATTGATCTGTATGGTAGTCTTGTGGTAGACCAATATATTATTTATTTTAACAAAACTGACTGAATGCTGCTGTCGTCGTCGTCGTGTTTTGTGCGTATTGCCAGGGAGTTGTTATAGTGTATTGCACACCAACAGCAACGTCAATTGCCGTGTTCATCGTGTGTAAAAGACTTTAAGTAGGTAAGCACATTCGATTCAATACTATATGTAAAATGTTGTTCAGATCACGTTAATTTTTACTAAAACACACGTTACACCTACTAGACGACAAGCAGTAGTCGACTTACCAAAACTACCTAAGTTCACGCTAGGGCCTAGACGTTCGCATAAACAACACAGACAACTTCTCTAGTGTAAACTGTATACTCTCGCGATAGAAAACAAAATTTCCGCAAAATATTAAACACGTTCGATCCAATACCATTATGTAAAGACCGTGTTTGGTTAGATCACTTTTTTTTTTCATTTTTAATAACACGTGCGCCTGCTACATTAACACGACAGAGGCCTAACCCTGCCGACGATCCCGTAAACAATTGGTCAACTACACCAACAAGGTATGCATTATGGAACTCGCTTACCCTCTCGCGATGAAAAACAAAATGTCGGCAAAGTTTAGGTCACAAAGGAACTAAAAATGATACATATTTTCTACACATCAGTAGACTCTATCTATAAAATTAGTTAAATAAGCATTTGAAACCCCTAGCCATATTTTTCGTAGGGCTTCGTTCTCTGAACCACATTCAAAACATATTGAGCGTCACCAGATCACGGCCCTCACGTGAAACTCTTGCTGTCACATAGTGATCTTAGAGAATCAGACGATCTTACTGTTGCAAGCGTTCCTTTGTGCATGATGTCCAATGGTGGCCTAAACAGATCTTCCAAAGTGCGTTTCTTCGCTGATTCTCCTCCTTTATTATTGCTTAGCCCCCGTATCATCTCCTCCTGTTGTCCTGGAGAGAAAAACAAAGTTGTAATGAGTGAAGAATATGGCTATTAAATGCTTTATCAGGTTTCATCACTATAGTCTTACTCATGTTTTTCATCACCATAGTCTTACTCATGATTATTGTCTGGAGAAGAGACTTCAGTCATGTATAAATTGTAACATACCAGGTTACTTTTACCCCACCCCCCAAACCAACAAAAAAATATCAGTTGGAATAACCTGTGTAACATTTTCCTTGTCCAAATTACCCCAAATGTTGAGTAAGTTGAACTGATTCCATGTCAAATTATGAAACGTGATTGGCTGTGGGCACCGAAACCTCTGATGATTAAATGCCTTCACAAATACGTAATACAAATTACAGTAATGACTTATCGATTATTATTGTATATTTTCAGATATTTCAGGTGCACCAAGTTTCTTCCCTATTCTTTCTTCTTCCTGCTCTTATTAAAATACACTACAAATTAATAAACATAGGGCCTAAGGTACTACATAGGCCTAGAACTTTCGTAAACATTGTGTGTATTGTATACTCAGTTTAACACATTTCCATCTTCCCATATTGAAAGCCAAATTTAGTCGGTCTTGACCCAATCTAGGCCAATTTAGGTATGCTTTCTTCATAAAGGCTTCTACCGCCTGATTATAAATCGACGGGAAATGTTACCGATAGCTGATTAAGGAAGAACAGTCAAGCTGTTTTTTTTTCCAGAGTACAAAGTCCAATGCTCACAGATCGAATTGTTTATTTCTTCTTAAGTTTAATCTACCATTTACCATTCACACCACTGAGCTTTTCACAGAATATATGCCACAAATACACTGACAACGCATAAGCAAAGTCTTCCAATCTTCAAACCTACTTTAGATCCTAGTATGAACAGCAGTACAATTTAAACAAGGCAGATTTATACTTCATCTTGTTCAAATATTATCTAATGAGAACATGGCTTTAATTTATAAACCATACAAAAGTTCTAGTATTGTGTTTTTGTTATTATTTTTCTTATTGTCATTATTATTACTGTCGTTATTATTAAAACTATTATTATTATATTATTATTATAGTAAAACAACAATTACATTTTTATTTCACTATACAAACTATGCTTATGGAGGATCATTTAGAAAACCAATTTTGGTTATTTGATCCTCCTTCTTTTTGTTACATTCTCCCATGTGTTGCTTAGCACTTTGACCACTAGTTTTTTTCCCATAAATATTGTTTACATTGAAGTGAATTTTCTGTTAATTGTTTTATGTTCAAAAGGAAAAATAAACTTTTATTTGACTTGACTTGATTTGATAACTGGGCCTTCTGGGAAAGCAGTAGCTTGATACCCTACAGGTTGTTCTCCAATTTAAAAAAAAAAAACAAAACAAAATGAAATATATATATTGACAAAAATTATCTTGTTTAATATAACATTCATTTTTATTTTTACTTTCTAAGAACCCATATTTCAAGTGGCTAGATGAGGTAACGATTACGTACTTGTCTCTGCCCGAAAATCCCTAAATCGGTCAAAAACTGACCCTGGGGCACCTCTCCTCCTCGGCCTCGGTCCTGGGGACAGAAAACGACGGAAAATTAATTGATCAACTATAATGTATTTAAAGAAAAGGAAAACACAAATTAGATACACAAATTAGTAGCATAGTTGTAAATGACAATAGTTTTTTATATACACAATAAATGACTTGTGTAGGAGCGGTTCTGCTTCTCAATCTTGAAGCCACAGGGTTTAAAGTTCGCTTGTGTCCTTAGGCAAGGCACTTTATCGGCATTTGTCTCTCATCCACCCAGGAGTACAACTGGGTAGCTGGTTGGACCAAACACAAAATGCGGTGATTACATCTGCAACAATATGGAATTCTCCACAGGAAGCTGAGTATGAGTTCTATATGTGCTTGACTGGGGGTAATAATGTGAAGGGCTCAGAGGCCTTCTTGGCATGAAGTGCTATAAGTAACATATTATTATTATCCCATATTAAGGGGTGGAAGTATTTGATAGTCTGTTCTAGTTAAACTTGCCTTAGTTGACTTACCTAACTCAAATAATTTCTAAGTCGATCTTATTTTACATATCAAATTGTTGTGTTTTCACTTTAATTAACCCTCTGTTAAGTCAAAATTTTACCCAAGTTGAACAAATTTTCAATGCCATTTGGATTCGACTTAGGCAAGTTTAACTATATTCATCAAAAATGAAATCACAAAAATAGGAAACAATGACATTTCCAAAATGTTGGTGTGTAAACACCAAAATTCATGTCTACAGTTTTCCATGTTTACAGACAGTCAATAATCGACTTAGAATCATTTCTAAGTCGATCTTATTTTACATACCAAATTGTTGTGTTTTCACATAATGACAACCAAAATTCATGTCTACAGTTTTCGATGTTTACAGACAGTCAGTACAACATTAACACTCATTGCATACATCAACTACATTACAAAGCTCCATGCTGCAAAGCATACAGTGGGAGCGAATATCATGTGCTTACCAAATACAGGAATGTCTTGTACAAGTACCTCACGCTTCTGTGGAATTGGAGCCCTTACATTATCTCTGTAACGACAAGGGTGTTACAAATAATATTTTTATTAATATTAGCAATGTTTAACGTTATGTTGATGCAAAGAGCCTCACAGCCACAAACTTTTCACTCACAAATACTGCCCTTGCATGCATACTGATTAGTATTCATGGTTTTTCATTTATTGCAGATGATAATGACATTAAAAACTTGAAAATTATGGCTTTGATTCACAATATCAATGTATATTATACATTAATAGTTTATTCAGAAAGTAGTTCACTCATAAAAAAAAAATAAAAATAGAAGCGCCACTTCTGGGAATGTGGTTTAATGATACCCATCAGCACTGACATCTGAGACAATTGATACAAGACTAAGACCATGAAGCTATCGTGAATTTGCAGGAGATAAGCATTTTCCGGAAATCCATCCAAATTTGACTTATGCAACTTGCGGGAGACCTGGGACCCCTGGACAGAGAAATTTTCTGCCTTACTCTGGTGATTCCACTGCTGAGCTTTGCGATACGGACGATGATCCTGGTGTGTCCACTACTCCATCGAGCTGCATACTGATGGCCATTTCCAGATTGCCATTGCAAATTTCTAACAATTTACGACCAACATCTACACTAGCCCCTGTAAAAGAATCAGAATAATTTGTGTCATTCTTAATAGCTTAATTGAGTGCATTTAAATTAAGTGTTTCATTTGTAAAATCTAAGTTGCAAATTTTATTTTTTTTCACTAGGTCTAGGCCTACTAAGCCAATGTTCCACAAACTGTGGGTAGTGATCCACCACGCCAGTGGATCACCACAATATTTTGGTGGGTCTTAAAAAATGAAATGATAAAAAGAAAAAAAAAAATCAGCTAGCTCGATAATATAGTCTGTCAGTTATCTGCTATAACTTGCTCATTAAAGCTTGGTTTCCAATACAATCGCTACACCCCATCGCCGACAGCTCTCAGTGATGCTGATTGATTGGTCAAATCGGGGGGTCTTTTGTGCTGAAAACACTGTAGCAATAGTGTCTAGTGAAATTAAGGAAACCAGGAGCGGATTGCTATAAGCAGTCTTTAGACGGTCTATAATCGTGACTCCACTACTGGTCTATGAATATAGACCATTGCTATACCGCGGTCTAACCAGTTAGCCGTCTTAAATTTTAAAGCCTACTCGGAGGAGGCTTAAGACAGTCTTATCATTTTCATTTCATCATGGCGTTCTGTTGATTAATTAAACAGTGCAATCTCAAGACCTAGGCCTACATCGTCAAAGTCGGAGAATCGAACAACAAATATTCCGCGTTCATTTCGATACATTTGCGTGCGTCGAGCATTCATGACAACACCCCAAATCTTACGTTACCAGCGAGTGCTTGTTTGCATTTCAATACTCAAAGCGGCGAAGACTGTTTTATAGCAATGATCTAGGAATGACTTTAGTAAGACCGTCTAAGTGATAAAGCCGGCTTTATTCGAGAAGTTAAGACTACCAGTTAAGACCATTTTATAGCAATCTGCCCCAAGCTTTAGTTACAAGTATTAGAAGTACAGTAACAATGACACAAAATGCCCCCTCTCTCTGCCCTAATAAAAAAGACAAAAAAAATAGAGAGAACAAATTAAAACAAGAGAATGAAGGATAGGCCTAGGCCTACTCCAAAAAAAGCTAACTTACGATTTAACTTTATATAGGCCTACTAGGCCTAGACCTTGGCCCTAGTAGTAGGCCTCCTCCTAGGGCCTAGCCTAGGCCCTAGTCCTAGGTCCTACTACACTACTCGGCCTAGCCTACATTCCCTTCTTGTGTTCTACTCGGGATCGGCGGCGCTAATGCACTTTATTTAGTACTCCACCCTATGCCTAACTAAACTTAAATTAATCTTCAGTCTTTCGGCCTATATTTGCGTCTACCTAGCTAGGCCTAAGACATAGGCACCTAGATGAACTAGGCTAGGCTAGGCTTAGGCCTATTCATAGTCTCGAGAAAAACACGGCCCACGTACTGGCCCTAAGCTAGGCCCAGGCCTAGGCCTATGCCACCTTCGAAAAGAAATACGGAGTAAATTATCACATTATAACATTTACAAAACCTAGTCTGTGCATTATAAAAAATAATTAGAGGCTTCCTGCTATACCTGTGACAGACCGGAACTGCTCCACCAAAGCCTTCATTCCCTTAACTTTTGACTTGGACGCCATGACTTTTGGATCACCGGATGGGACACCATCAAAATCCGACTTTATCAAAAAAACAAAATTATAGCGGGCGACATTCAACTACTGATAGACTCTCTCAATCTATCAAGCAGCTGCTGTAGACCTATCCAAAGAGAACATTTTTGAGTGTCGCCCTCTATTGTTGTAAACGAGGTAATTTCAAGTGCTTTCCTCCAAAATACGTGTTGCTCTATCTCCACACGAATTAAATGTCGGATACCAATTATAACGATTCATTATTTTTTTCCCTTCTATTTTTCGGTGTTTAACCCTCACCACGATTCTTAATACGGCGAGTTCGTCGTTGTCTATTTCCGAGCAGTAGGTCTACGTTGTAATGACGTTAGTGTTTTGTCTGTGTTGGTTGTTCGCTTGTGCGAACGTTCTAGGATTATGGTTAGCCATCAGGGCCATAGAAAGCGCCGTAATCACAATGAAAGTTATCTTCATAAAAAGCGCCGCCGTAATGCATTCATAAGCGCCGTAATGCCATTCATTTTCAACCAATAACAGGTTTAGGATGACGCCAACAGGGTCATAATGAAAGCGCAGTGATCATAATAAAAGCGCCGTAATCATAATGAAAGCACCGTAATCATAATGAAAGCGCCGTAATCTAGAGTTCCTATATAGACAGGAACTCTACCGTAATCATAATTAACCAATTATAATGATTACGGCGTTAACTTGTTCGACAAAAGCGCCGCTTTGAGTAGCTGGCGCAAGGACCACACAAATTGGCCAATCACATTCCATCTTTCATGTTTGCTGAATTTAACGAAAATGTGATGGATGGTTTGACTAGGCGCGCCACTATCGCTTTTGGAGCCATTCAATACATGAACCGTGAGCAATGGATGTGCAAAATTTAAAATTCCTTCAAGTAGGGCCTACAGTACGTCTAAATGTATCCATCAATCGTCTTGTCACTGAAGCAGTTAATAATAAGGATAATGGGAATTTTTGCCTGCGTGATGAGTAACTAAATCCTTAGAATAGTTCTTTATCTAGCCTAGGCCTAGGGTAGGCCAGCCTAGCCTAGAGTTACGTCATTAAACATTAAAACATTATTTAAAAAAAAAAAACATTAAAATCATGAAAACAATATTATTATTATTATTGTTATTATTATTTAAAAACATTAAAATCATTAAAACATTATTATTATTATAATTATTTAAAAAACATTAAAAT